AGGCTTCGCAGCTTTCCAGATTCGCAATGGGTCACCGTAAAATTCATGGCCAGCTTACTCTGTTCAAACAGCACCTCCGCCAATTGGGAGAAATGCTGGTGCAATGTTGCTTTGACTCTGCGGAATACTTCCATCATGTCCAGCTCTTGCTCGTCCTCCTTGGAGACGGGAAAGTGGTGGCGTTGAACCCTCGTGAGATTGACGATGAGCCTCGGAAAGTCGTCAGGTAGGTCCGGTGTCGTCTCCTGCTCCCAGTCGTCTGATTCCTGCTGTTCTGGTTTTGCTTTAACGGTCTGCAAAGCTTCGGACTCCCAGTCGCGCTCTTCCCACGAGTCTCCTACCTCTTCGACACCATTGCCAGCTCTTTTTGGACCTGCCACTGCGGCTGTAGACAGCGCAGCACGCGCTTGCAGGAAAGAGGCTGGCAGTGAGAAGCTCATTGTCATGGAAGAGTCTGAGATGACACTCGGTGAGCTCCTTGGAGCCCCCGCAGGCCGCGTCAAGACCTCCATCGTATGCAAGGCCGCCATTTTGGTCAAGTTTTATGACAGTGATTGGTGGACGAAATTACCTGATAAAAGTATTTGACACAATTTGCACTCCAAATTTCGTGAGTGATGGTTCAGGCTGTACCCATTTACATGTATTCTCTGATTGTTGTTGTTCAATGCAACAATGGACTTTGTGGAGACAGATCGTGCTGTGTATTTCTACGGCCAGCGCGATGCAAAGTTTGGATTTCTGAGCAACTTCCACCCGTGCGAGTTCATGGACACAGAAGGTCGGCGGTTTTACTCGAGCGAGCAGTATTTCATGAAGCGGAAGCAGGAAATGTTCGACCCTGCCAATGGAAAGCTAGCGATCGCCCTCTTACGAGCAAAAGCTCCTGCAGCGGCAAAGAAACTCGGGAGACAGGTGTAAAACTACGACGACCGAGTGTGGGGTGAACACCGATACGAAATTATGCTTAAGGCACTGAAGCTCAAATTCTCAGCCAAACTCTTGGCGACGAGTGACAAAAGTTTGTACGAGGCCTCACGGCATGATGCCATCTGGGGCATCGGTCTGAGCGTGGCCAGCGTGGCGACCATGTTTCGCGAGAGTGAATCATTTCGACGTACGGGAAACGTCGATGCCGAAACGCGCGACTTGTGCTTTGGCAAGAATCTTCTGGGTAATGCGTTGGTGGAAGCCCGTGCTTGGCTCCGAGACTACAGTAAGTGTGACACTAAAACTCTGCTTCTAGCTGGATATTCGGATATAGTTGTCGCTTGTTATCTGTCGAATTCGCTTTTCGCTGTTTTCCAAATCTGACTTCATACATGTATCCCCAGTCTGACACCCATTTTTTAGTCGCGCGAGTTATAGTGAATCCGTTAAAGGAGATGAGGCAGATATTAATGTAGGGCAATCACTTTTATAAGTAGTGAGTGAGTGTGACTCGTACATGTATCTCCGTAGTAAATTTTAGAAGGATTCTAGCCAAAATTCACAAGCAAAATTACTTTAAACGCGCGTTCCGAGCGCAGCGAAGGCGGCGTCGATTGGCTAGAATCGAATTATGTTGTGTACACACTGTATGTGGTCAACACATCGTACTTAAAATGTACCGCTCAAATTTCATTTTGCTTTCATTTTCAGCTGCGGTATGCGAGGCCACGCGAAGGGCGCTGCCTGTGTACGCGTTAGTTAGCTGAATTAAAAGGCGCCGATGAGCACACACGTTCTCTATCGTCGTAGGTGCTGTTGATAAAATTTGTAGGCTTCGGTGACTCATACTTCGGCCTCAATCAGAACATTAGTACTTATTGGTTTAAATATGATTTGATTTGCTTCGTAGTAGGTTTGTAATAATTTAACTTACAGTACTGTTTTGCGTAGTACTATTCTTAAGACATTTCATATTTTTGCTTGCAGTTATTTGTAGTAGTAGTCCACATAACTATTATGTTAACGTTTATAATAAATCACACCTCTACTACTACTATTAATAATTGATACTTTAGGATGTGAAAACTTTAAAATATGACTATTATGACTTCCCACCCGACACCCCCCTGCACCCCACACTGCCCCCGGGAAAGTATCATCTTCCTCTGTATTTGCACACGACCGTAAGATATTGTGTGATCTTTCCAACAATATATGTTGTGTACATCAAACAAAATCGGAACAGTGTTTGTGATCAAGTTTGCGCGGAGGCACGCGACTCAGCAAGAACACGAAAAACGATGGGATAGAAGAGCAACACGAAGCACGGAACGTCATGGACGATGATAGAAGATTTAGCCGATGCAAACCACGAAGTGTTTTACGTAGCGTGAAAGATGGAAGTGCACGCAGCCATGGAAAGAACAGAAGAACGAGAATATGACGGGAGCGTACGGGCCACGGAAGGGAACTAAATACATAGACACCCCAGCATGCTGAAATGCACGGCTACGGAAGAGCACGCAACTTCGAAGCCACTGTAGAGCACGTAGCGGTAAGAGTGCACGGACAGTAATTCTCCCATAGCACCACGGTACAACACGGAGCACAGTTGACCGACCAAACGTGAAAACGCGATGTACCATAAACGGAAGATCATCCGAGCATTGGAGCCCGATATTAGGGTAGAATCGGAGCTCACCGAGTCCGACAGCACGACACTACGGTAGCTAGCGATCTCACGGACGACAGACCAACCGCAACATCGCAAGCTAACACGATAGCATGGACTGTGTCACTAAGCCATAGGGGAGCACAGCCACAGGAGCTATAGACGGGAGATCTTTGAGCCGCGGAGCACGATACCAGCGTAGAAGCTCAGCTCCCCGAGCCACGGAGGACAGTAGCACATTAAAACTCGATTGCACGGACGGCAGACCAGCCACGAAAATCACGGGGGTGCTTGGGGTGACCACGATTGCACACCGTGGAGCACGAAGCCCATGTAGAGCACGATAACACGGGCAACGCAGATGCACTACGCGAGCACAATACCATAAATACCATTACCACACCGCGATTGCTCCATAGCGTCGTAACGCGGTCGATGGAATCTTACCAGGAGAGCGCGATACACGGGCGACGGAGCAACACGACTGCATGAAGTCACCAAACCACGGAATAGCACACTTCGGCTAGAGCACCAGCGATGGAAGGCCAACAGCCACGAAATAGTATCTACCACGAAGCCAGTGCAACCCACCTAAACGTTTGAGAACAGAGAGAAAAGTTAGCATTTACGATAAGGCCGTACTAAAGCGCATGAACCCACAAGAGAGAGGACATAAACGCTGAGCAGCGTGGGCCATGGGTGAGCAGGAACCACGAAGCCGGGAAGAGCACGAAAGAGCATGGGTCATTGAAGAAAACAACACCCAACCTGTAGTACGGGGTAACGGAAACGTTCCAAACCACGATGTTATACGGGGCCGAATGAGACTACGGAAAGGCAAGTAGTTAAATACACGATGCCAAGATCTACGGGGTGAACCACGCTTTCAAAACACGCGACACCAAGAGCACTAAATTTGCGGCCAACAATAAACCATTTCACTCCGCCGCGTAGCGGCGGCGAACGGCTAGTCTTACCCCCCTAGTGGAGTGTGTTGTCCGTCTGTAAACGTCCGTAACGGGCTAGGGTTAATAATCCTCACGCTAAAACGCGCGTTCTACTGGCTGCCGAGCGCAGCGAAGGCGGCCTCGATTGGCTAAAATCGCAATATGTGGTGTACACATTGTATGTGGGCTACATATCGTACTTAAATGCAAACGTTCAAATTTCATTTTGCCCCCATTTTCGAAACGGAAGCCGCGGAACGCCACGTTACTCAAGGTACGCTGCGTGTATGCATGTTCGTTAGCATTAGTAGCTAGCAAGACACACATACACAGATAGTCCGAGGTTCCTGGGGCTGCTTAGGGGGTAGCTTATAACTTGCGGGATTTTATCCTGCAAGTAGGTAGCCGTGCTATGGGGATTTAGCTCCAGAGCCCTTTGGGTTCTTGGGGCTTTATCCCACCGCCCACTCTGCGCGAGAGCACATTTGGCACCTGGTCCATTGACCGCAAACCCGACAGCGAACCAGTTGAGCCGGTCGTTAATGGTTATTGATGGGCACGCACATTGCGTGCGTGCAGTTGGTTAGGAGGGGTACCGTAACCGGCCTCTTTTAACCGACAGATGGGATGGGGGCTGTAATAGCCTATCAATAACCAGCCTTTGCAATTAACGGCCGCCTTTTGGCAAAAGGATATCGCACCTCAAGCTTCAGTACTATCCGGGGGCCCAACCCTGAAGATTCGACTGCACAATTTGCAAACTAAAACCGCTCCGGGCCTCACGGCCCGTGACTGTGGGATAAGTGATCGGAGATAACCTTGATGGGGGCAAGCAATCCCGGGTAGTACGCATATCCCCACACACTACTCTATGAAAACCTACTGCTACGTGCGGTGTTCTTAGACATTGTCTAACGCGTCACGTTTTCGTGTTCGCAGAGCTACGGTTCGGAGTAAGCGAAAGAGGACGCGCGAGGAGCTCGAGGAGGCCCTGCGCGAGAACGAACGCATTAACGCGACACCTACGCAAGAGGAGAAGGAAGCACGGAAACGACGTTTGAACAAGCGCAGGAGGAAGCGCTGCGACTTAAACAAAGTGCTTCAAGCCCTCAGTGTGAACCAAGAAGTTTCGGAGACGATGGAAGTGACGGAAGGTCAAGCTGGCCGTTCTGAAGAGCGGGAGGAAAAGGCGGAAGAGTCCGATCCTGTGATATTTCAGCGCCGGTTTGCGGCTCAAATGGAGGCGGCGTATCAAGACGGAGCCACTGGGTAGCTTTATTTACGGTCCCTGTCACACCACAAGCTACAGTTCAAGAAGCGGTTCCGGTGTCGGCAGCGCAACGAGCTCGCGAAAGTCGAGCTAACAGGACGTTGTCTCAGGCAGATCGTGACCGGACACGCGACGCACAAAGAGCTCGCACGAGACGAGCGAATATGTCACTCTCTCAACGTAATATCGCCCGACAGAAGGGTGCAGAGCGCCAACGTGTCCGTCGAGCTCGGCTACGCGAGGAACAGCTCCAGGAACTACGGGAGCAGGACCGAGCTTACCATGAAGAAAGACGTGCGGAGTTGCCTTCACAGGATCGTGAAGTGGAACGTGAGCTAAATCGCCAGCAGCATACGGATCGACGAGCGCGACAGACAGCGGAAGAGCACCAGCAAGAGCTCGAGCGGGTGCGCACTCGACGCCAATGCGTCCGTCATGGCCACGCTCTTATTTCCCTCGCAGACTTCGACGCGTCCATGATAACGGGTGACCACGTGGCTAACGGGCGACACAAGCTCCCGGCTACAACCGTTTGTCCGGTCTGCAATGCTTGGAAGTGGCCAGGCGAGTCTACGATATCATGCTGTCTGGCAGGCAGGGTAAAGCTGCCTCCACTGCACCCCGCGCCACCAAAACTTCTTCAGCTGTACGGAGATCCCGAGTTCCGCCGTCAAATTCGTGCCTACAATCAAGCCTTCGCGTTTACGTCGA